CAATTATTTAATTTTTCTCAATTATGTTACCAGTTGCTGGTTCTAACATACCAACCCATACTCCTCACTCTGTCTCATATTGGATTGTCTACTGTCCTTATTCTATTTTTCTCCAACAAGCCAAGGACCCAATAAATTTTACCAAATTTACAATATAAACTTCTTTCAATCTATGATTTTCTGGGTAACATATTTGAGTATAATTCAGAACTGTAGATACCCGAAGATTTATCATTTCATTTATACTGTCCTCTGTAAGGCCTAGGTGAAAAAAAAAGGAGGGGGGACAGAATATTGTGAGGAGCTTTTTAACCATATGTCTATTTCTCACTGTTTATTATAGTAATAAGAGTTTCCTGAAACATCAAACACTTTGGTATATCCTTCTGAAAGAGAGAGCAAGGCAAATTCTGTAAACTGCATGGCATCTAACAAAACCATGGGGACTACAGAAGTCTGGCCATCAGCAGAAGCGGAGTAATAAACATGGGCATTGATGAAGGAAGGTTAATTCTCAGAGTGCACAGAGGCAAATACGTGAAAATGACAGGAACCTGACAAATTTAAAAAAAATTAAACTCCAGATTTTTTCTTCCTGGAGTCTAACATGCCTACTTCTGCTAACAAATAGGCAGCTGCTTCTGACTCTTCCAAATACTAGAAAATCTCTTGGAAAAATAACATGATGGAAAGAAGATTTTCCATTATATCATATTTTCATTTTGTCATTAATCAGTTCTGGATTTCAAATTTGAAATTTACTAGAAGTCTAACCTTGGAAAAATAAATTTTTGAGCTTTTGTTTCTCTCTCTCATGAAGTTTCTTTTTATTAATATAAAATATACTTACCTGATAGAGATTTATGAGAAGTAAATGAGAAAATACATATAAAAGTAACCAAAAAGTAGCTGACATAGAGTGGATGTTAAATAAATGCTCATTTTCCCCTGACCCAATCAGTTGTATTCCTTTTTTTAGTGGAGTGAAGTAACGAATATAAATTTGAAGCTAAAAGAATGACCAGTTATGCTGTTCAATAGCTCAAGGTGGTAGTGATGGGTTGGGTGAAGGGTTACTTTTTATTTTTAGAAACAGAGAAAGATATTTTTCAAGTCCTCCATCATAAGTAGGGGTGACATGATTTAAGAAGGTTTTGCTCACTGTCCTAGGAACCTAAGCAACTAATACCATTTTCTTGGTGGGGTGTAGTGAGGGAGGGGATGGGAGGTATTACAGGTTCCAAACATATGATGTAAAGAATATATATATCTGCAATTAGGGCCCAGTTTTGTGGAAAATCAAATTATCTTTATGATAAAAAAATGTATGGCAATGGTTATATTCTTAATAATGATGAACAGATTTATAAAGCTTGAAGATTCCTCTCTCAAACTGTTAGAGAATGCCTTTAAATGCTAACTTCCTTGATAATTATAGAATACAGTTTAGAATTTATGTAATTCTACCTGAATAAGTTTAGAAATATGAATATCACTTTATAAGTCATTAACATCTGTGAAGATAAAGATCTGTGGTATTCCATAGGTTTATTGGTTTAATATAGTCAACATAGCCTGCTAAAAAATGAAAATACAAATATTGCATGTAACTATGTTTTAATTTTTCTGAGATTATCTTAAAACCCGCCCCCCAACACACGTGCTTTCTCATCTGTAAACATGACATTCCAGAAAAATTTAGGATGCTCAAATGTCAGAGCAAAGAAAACAAAACTATAATGACATGGTTCGCTTTCTTAGCTGTATTCACTCTTTAGAAAGTAGTCATTAAAATGATATATGAAATCTTTAAAAATGTAGCCATATAGTTACCCACTGTTCAGTAGATTTAAAAAATCCAGTTCTGCAATTCTATTACACCATTATTTTTGTCCTTTTTTTGTTTTGTGATATCAGAAAAAGTATTGCAAATTCTACGTCTGCACTATCTAATATGGAGCCACCAGTCACAGGTACATATTAAGCATTTGAAATGTGGCTAGACCAAATGGAGATGAGCTGTAATTACAAAATATACACTGCATTTTGAAGATTTAATATAAAAATTTAATACAAGGAAAATTATATAAATTATCTAGTTCGTAATTTTATATTGACTGCCTGTCAAAATTAGACATATTGAGTTAAAATATATTAAATTTAATTTCATCTGTTTCTTTTCACTTTCTTAAGTGTAGCTAGTAAAAACTTTAAAATTATATATGTACCTTGTATTATATTTCTTTTGGACAGCATTACTCTAAGATTTATACTTCCTCAAAACCAAATATTATTACATTATGATCCTTTATAAATTATAGGTTCTGTTTTAGGTTTTTAAATCTTATTTCTATTTTATAGCCATCATAAGTGCAATAAAAAAGAAGTGAGTCATCACTGGTCAACACAGTCTTACCAAACTAATACAGACACTGCTTCTAATTATTATGGCTATTACTATTCATGTCTTCTTCCCGTGTTTTTACTGGGAAGTAAAACATACTCTTCTTTTTTGGGTGTTGAATTTGATTAGTTCTTTGTAGATTTTGGATACTAACCCTTTATCAGATATTTCATTTACAAATATCTTCTCCCATTCTGTAGGTTGTCTTTTAGTTTTGTTGATCATTTCCTTTGCTCTGAGGATTTATATCTTGATGAAGATATAAATCATTTATTTTTGCTTTTGTTTCCCTTGCCTCAGGAGACCTACCTAGTAAGGATTTTTATGGTTTCCTGTCTCACATGTAGGCCTTTCTTCCATTTTGAATTTATTTTTGTGTTTGGTGTAAGAAAGTGGTCCACTTTCATTCTTCTGCTTCTTTCCAGTTTTCCCAACATCATTTGTTGAAGAGACTCTTTTTTCCATTGGATATTCTCTCTTGCTTTGTTGACAATTAGTTGACCATATAGTTGTGGGTTCATTTCTGGATCTTCTATTCTGTTCTTTTTATTTGTTGTTATTTTTCTAGCTTCTTTAAGTGTTAGGTTAGGTGTGTATTTGGGAATTTCCTGCCCCTTGAGGTAGTCCTGTATTGCCATATATTTCCTTTTTATGACTGGTTTTGTTGCATCCCAAATGTTTTTAACCATTATGTTTTCATTTTCATTTGTTTCCATGTATTTTTTATGTCTTCTTTAATTTCCTGGTTGACCCATTCATTCTTTAATACTATGCAATTTAACCTCCAAGTATTTGTGGTCGTTCCAAATTTTTTCTTATGGTTGACTTCAAGTTTCATAGTGTTGTGGTCAGAAAAGATGCATGGTATGACCTCAGTCTTTTTGTACTTGTTGAAGCCTAATTTGTGACCTAGTCTGTGATCTAATCCAGAGAAAGTCCCATGTGCACGTGAAAAGAATGTGTACTCTGCTGCTTTAGGATGAAATGCTCAGAATATATCTGTTAAGTCCAGCTTGCCCTGTGTGTTATTCAAACCCATTATTTCCTTGTTAGTTTTTGCTTTGATTATCTTTGCATTGATGTAAGTGGAGGTTAAAGTCCCCTATTATTATTGTATTATCATCAGTGAGTTCCTTTATGTTATTATTAATTGTTGTATATATTTCAGTGCTTCCAAGTTGGGGGCATTAATATTTACAATTGTTAGATCTTCTTGTTGGATAGACCCCTTAATTATGATATAATGCCCTTCTCCATCTCTTGTTATAGGCTTTGGCTTAAAATCTATTTTGTTTGATATAAGTATTGCTACTCTGGCTTTCTTTTGATGACCATTAGCATGATAAGTATTTCTCCATCCCCTCTCTTTCAATCTTCAGGTATCTCTGGGTCTAAAATGAGTCTCTTCTAGGCAGCATATCAATGGCTCTTTCCTTTTTATTGATTCTGACACCCTATGTCTTCTGATTGGAGCATTTGGTCCATTTACATTCAAAATAATTATTGATAGATACTTATTTATTGCCATTTTATTATTTGTATTGTAATTTTTCCTGAAGATTTTATGTGCTCCTTTTTAGTCTTTGTTGCTTTTTGACTTTCCTTACTACTCAAAGAATTCCCTTTAATATCTCTTGCAGGCCTAGTTTGGTGGTCATGAACTCCTTTAGTATTTGTTTGTCTGGGAAACTCTTTATCTCTCCTTATATTCTGAATGATAGCCTTGCTGGATAGAGTACTTTTGGCTGCAGATTTTCCCCTTCAGCACATTGAATACATCATGCCACTCTCTTCTAGCTTGCTAAGTTCTGTGGAGAGATCTGTTGCTAACCTATGGGTCTTCCCTTGTAAGTTAGGGACTTCTTTTGTCACTTTGCTTTTAATATTTTTAAATTTATCACTGTATTTTGCAAATTTACCTACAGTATGTCTTGGTGTTGGCATGCTTTGTTGACTTTGATAGGAGTTTTCTGTGCCTCCTGGATATGGATATCTGTTTCCTTCCCCAGATTAGGAAGGTTTTCAGCTATTATTTCCTCAAATAAAACTTCTGCTCCCTTTTCTCTCTTCTCTAGAACTCAGATGATATGAATGTTATTATGTTTGATGAAGTCACTGAGTACCCTAAGTCTACTCTTGTGATCCATCATTCTTCTTTCTCTCTTTTGTTCAACTTCATTATTTTCCATAATTCTCTCTTCTATACCACTTATTCATTCCTCTCTTTATTCTATTCTTGTGGTCATTACATCTAGTTGGTTTTGAATCACAGTTATTGCATTTTTCATTTTGGCCTGATTGTTTTTTAGCTCTTTAATGTCTGCAGTAAAGTTTTCCCTGATGTCTTCCATGCTCTTCTCAAGCACAGCTAGTGTCCTTATCACTATTGCTTTAAATTCTGTATCAGGCATCTTTATTATATCTGTTTCAATTAGATCTCTGGCCATTGCCTTTTCTTGTTCTTTCTTTTGGGATGAATTCATCTTGCATTTTGTCTAGGTCTCTCTCTGTCTTCTGTGTGGTAGAAAAACCTGTTATGTTTCCTGCTCCTGAGAGTAACAGCTTTATGAAGAAGAGATTATATAGTGCCCAGGGCCTAGTGCTTCAGGAAGTATCTATGGCGTGTGCTCTCTGCACTCTGCTGCTGTGTTCTGGCTGCTTTATCCCTCAGGTCAGTCATCTGCAGTTTCTCCTTGTCTGCAGTGGGCAGTGTTTGGACCTTGGCCAGAATGTGGCAAGTTTTAATTAGGTGTGCAGGATTTGTTAAAAGAGAACTGATGCTATTTCCACAGAACTGAACCTTTGCAGAACCCTATGGTCAGTAGATGTGGTACATATGAGGGAATTCTGTTGGTCTCTGGGGACAAGGGACCCATGGCACTAGTCCTTAGGGACACCAGCTAAAGAAAAGCAGTCCCAATGGAGTGCAAGGGGTCAGAACTTAGTCTAAGCAGGTTAGGCAACAGTGTTGGCTCTGTGGTGTTTAACGAAGTTGGTTTATGCTGAGGTGTGGGAAGGGAAATGGCACCAGCCAGTATCTTTGTTCCTGAAGAAGGGAGTCTGTGCTTGCTGCTCTCAGGGAAGCACTTTCAGAAGAACAAATAATTTCCCCTGTGCATCACAGGCATTTTTCAGATCATTGCTTTCATACTATCTATCTCTGGGTTGTTTGCTTGCTTACTTGGAGTGGTACAGCACACTTCTATCACAGTCAAACCTACTGACTTTTAAAACTCAGGGACCTGGTGTGTCAGGGACCTGTGCTGGTCCTCTGGGAAAGGATCTCACCATGCTGGGATTGATGCAAGTTTGACCTAGAAAGGCAGTCATGCTAGAGCACAAGGACATGGGATTTGGAGCACAGCAGGCTAAACAGGTTAGCTGCCTTCAGCAAGTGTCTCTGTGCTTATGTTGAATGGCAGGGAGAGAAATGGTGCTGGCTAGTTCTTTTGACCCTGAAGAGGCAATCTCACTTCTCACTGATATGCTCCAAGAAGAAAAGTCTCTTCCTGTGCACCTTAGGCAATCCTCTGATCGTGCCGCATGCCTCAGGGTTGCCTTGCCTTCCTTCTCTCCAGGAATAAGGAAGCACCCTGAGGTCTCTGTCCCAGCCAAGCCTGAGACCTATAAACCTCCAGTCTTTACTGGACTTACTTATATCACTGCCTTTCTGCAGGTGGAAGACCGGATGGGTGCATCACAGGATCCATCATAGATAGCTTCTTTATTTAGCAGATTGCTCTGGGTTTTTATAAGCCAAATTACAATTATACTTATTTAGTTAGTTAAGTATAAAAATAAATAATTATTATGGAATATCTTCAATATACCAGAAAGTTAAAAATCATCCATACTATCAAGTAACAAAGATTGTTTTTAACAATTCAGTTATAAATAATAGTTTTAGTGTAGTTCAATAATTAGCATTTAAAGTTCTACTCTGAAATTTTTAGAAATTACTTTGATTAAGGTGAATGGTATTTATAATTAACATTTATATAGATTTAAATGTCCATGTATTTGGTGTGCTTCGAAAAAAATTATGTCATATATTTGGTTTTTAAAATGTGAGAAAATGGAATTGTGCCATTTTATTTTTTTGATGGAGGAAAATGCAACTTTACTTCTAAATGTAAAGAGATAGAATGTCAAAATTCAATTGCCTTAATAAGGAAGATTATAATTTCTATAACAACAAAATAAAAGAGACAATGGTCATATGTGGGAAGTAGAAAGAAGTGGAGGAAAGTGCTCTATAAAGAGCTTCAGTATTGCCTGGTTTGCTCAAGAAAAGTTCTATTTACTCATGAAGCAGTTGAATAGATGAGTGCTCTATTATTAGAAGATATTTAATTGTACCTTATCTATTTCCAAAGGGCTTGAATTAATTAAATAAATGTTTAATTTATTTTAATTTAATTTCCATCTAGCAGCTGGATCATTATTTAAATGAGCAAATTTTTTACTTTACATAATTATTTAAGATATTGTTCACCTTTCTTATACTGTTGTTATAATTAAAGGGCTAAATTTGAAGTTAAAAAATGAAACTACATACTTCCTACAAAGCATGTTTAGATGTATTCTATGGATATTAATATATCTTTGTCAAATTACAAAATCAATTGAGAACAAAATCAATGGTTTTATAGTGCAGGTGTTATAGTTTCCAGCAGTTACCATAACAAATTGTCACAAACTAGGTGGCTTAAAATGTGAACTTTATTTATTGGTAGTTATAGAGTCCAGATCTCTGAAATCAAGATGTCAGCAGGGTCCTGCTCCCTCCAAAGAATCACTAGGTAGGGAAACTATTTCTTCTCTTTCTTAGCTGGCATGCTTTAACGTTCCTGGCCTGCTGGCTCATCACTCCAATCTATTCACATCACCTTCTCTTCTGCTTGTGTCTCAATGAAATCCTTCTTGGACCCTTCTTATAAAGATACACAAATGGCAGATAGAGCTTACCTGATTAATCAATGATAAGATCTTCCTCTCAAGAGCCTTAAGGTTTCCATATCTTTTGCCATATAAAGTAATATTCACAGGCTCTAAAATTAGGAAGTGAATATATCTTTGGGAAGCCTTTTTTTCTGCCTATCACAATAATAAAAAGCATAATCTAACTACAATATTTAAATTTGTATTTATCAAGCTGATCAAATGTTTGCAATTTTTCAAAGATTTATTTATTTATTTATTTTAGAAAGAGAAATTAAGAGAGATAGTGCACGGTGGGGAGAGGGAAAGGGAGAGAAAATCTTAAGCTGACATCCCTCTGAGTGCAGAACCCAATGAGGAGATCAACCTTACAACCCTGAGATCCTGACCTGCGCTGAAATCAAGAGTAGATGCTTAACAGACTGAGCCATTCAGACACTTGCAATTTTTCAAACATGAGTGCTGTCTAACAAATAAGAACTTCCCCAAACTTATATTTTCAAGCAACAAATATGTTTAGGTCTTAATAGTAATGCATTTTATTTCTATTGGCAAAATTTTCAGAATTTTGCATCCAGACTCTAATAAACTTGACTTAGTTTTAGAGATCTCATGCACATGCATCCAAATCCACATTTTATATAATTATTTATATTAATTATGAAGTGAAACAAAATTTCATAATGAAAACTAACAGAAACATTATATTTAATGATCTTTCGACTCTAATAAACTTGACTTAGTTTTAGAGATCTCATGTACATGCATCCAAATCCACATGTTTTATATAATTATTTATATTAATTATGAAGTGAAACAAAATTTCATAATGAAAACTAACAGAAACATTATATTTAATGATCTTTCTATCCACAATATTTCTGAAGTAAATTATTAAATTACGTATGATAGTAACAGTAGCTATTTTCATAGAATGTTAAAATTACTAAATTTTACCTAGTTGTTTTACATTTTCATTACTAATTACTTTTAGCAAAAAGATTTACTAACAAATCATGAGGAAAGAGCTTTAAAAAAAAAAAGGAGCAGAAGTTTCATGGGAGAAAATTAGTTTCTTGAATTGCAAAAGAAACTGTAATATAGAAAGATCCAGGTAGAAATACTGGATCATAATTAAATGATCTTGACAAATAAATTTAGAAAATAAAGTAATAAAAACACATAATCTGAACTTGTATCTAAAGATAATATCACCATAAATCCTTTAATGGAAATAAAAATTAAAGATGAAACTGTAAAGTCAAGTGGTAAGGACCTTAAGTAGTCTTGGGAACATTTGCAGATGGCAACAACTGAAGGGTTTGAGTTTTAAGGACCAAAAAGAAAGGGAAGGAAAAATGTGTTCTCTTACACATTAGAGAATAAGAACAAACATACTACATAATAAAAACATAAATTATAAATATCTGTCAATGAAAGCATGAGTTATAAATATCCACCCACAGCCAAACAAGTTATTGAGAAAGTTATGTTTAGCTTGAGTTCTGGAATAGGATGAAAAGAAACTCTCTCGTGAATATTTATAAATAATGGCTTATACTGACAAAAGACTTGAGAGAGGGGATGGGGTGGTCCGCATTTAAATATCTCTGGGAAATACTAGGATAGTTTTGTTCCATCTTTGAGGTAGTAGGTGAGAGCACAGGTTTACTTAAATTTGTACTTGAGGATCCTGCCTGCTGTTTGTAGTTTAGGCTGACATACACATATTTGCATATATCTATGCAGCAACAAAGTATTCTGGTTGAAATTAAAAATGAAACAAAGCATCCCATACAAGTGCATAACGCCAAAGGTACTAAGGAATAGAGAAAATGTATTTGTAAATGTCCATTCCATACAATACACTGAATAATTAAAATGCTTCTCACATTAATTTCTTGCCATTAGTAGTATCGCTGTTGCCTTTTATCTCTTTGCCTCTGCACTACCAAAATGGACTCTTAATTGTTTTCCTGGTTTTCTACTGCCTCTCTCCTTTCAACCATCATTCATATTGCTCTACCTGATTCATTCCTCTAAAACTTTTACTAGGTATCTTTTACTATTAAAAAATCTTTAATGATACCATGTTAGCCATAAAATAAAGTACAAGTACATGAATATGGCATTTAAAAAGCCTCAGACTATCTATAGTTTTGACTGAGCTCCTAATGATTACAATTGAGCACCTAACCTCAGTTGGGCTATTTGATCCACTCTTGTGAATCATATGCAAGGCATATACTGGCTCATGTTATTTTTCCTTTCTCTCCTAGAATTATCTTTCCTACTCTCTGTCCAACTATATCCAAAAAAATCCTTTCTTCCATTTAATATTTATTGTATCTGTTGAAAATAGTAATTTAACAATTATCATGATAAATAATATATATGTCTATGAGTTACCAAAAATTATTTTAATGCAAGATATTTGTGACCCATCTCATTAATTTAAAATCAGTCATTATTTTTTATAATTATTGAATCTCCTGAAATAAATCCAAACTACCCTACATAGTATTGAATGCATTGTAGCTACTCAAATATTTGATTTTATGTAATTTTAGAATGCATTTCTTTTAATATTCACAAAAGCAACTAATACAATGTTTTGTACATAATAGGTATTCAATAAAAATATTAATGATTAAAGCCAAATGAAGAAATTCTTTAAAAGCACTTACAAAAGAGATCAACTTTGGTAGAATGGATAATTAAAGTACTATTTTTGGTTTCTAAGTATATAACATAGACTCTATCTAAGTTTAAATAGAAAAAAAATTATTAGAAGGTATTAGCAAGTTCTAGGAGGACCATGAAATTAGGTTTCAATGCTACAATTTAAGAAAAAAGCCAATGGAAAGGTCCACCCACAATATAGAGCTCTTCTAAAAGAAGCCTCTCTCCTGCACATCGCTCATAATGCTAGGGGGGAAATCAGAACCACCATCCTCATCACCATGCCTGTAAAGAGTTGCTCCCTGACTTCTTCCAAACATTGTGTTTGTTGGAAAGAATTCAGGCCATAATCAAAATTATGTCTTTTCAAAAAAGATTCTAGGAGATGTAGTCTTTAGCTTTTCTAGCCTCTACAATGGAAGAAGGCAGGTTAAAGATGTTTGAGAGGGGTATTGAGCAAATATAATCTGCAGTATCTATCATACTAAGAAAATATTTCTTACAGAGATATTTATAAAAATAGTGTATACGATGACAAATATAAAAAGTATAAAGGAGATTATACTTGAACTATATTTATCACTGAACTATATAATCATTCCATGCCTTATGTTTTAGAAAGTTGGCTGCATATATAGTTCACAAATTTGAAAATAATGACTAAAAATACAAATGATTAATTGACAGATTCTACAAATTTTTGGTCCTGGTGATTTCTTGAGGAGAACATTCTTTCAACTGCCTTTAACTGGTGTTAATGTAACTACCATGCTAATGCTTGTTTTATTTGATATCATCTCAAGTTAAGGTTAGCTTTTATTATCCTTAGTTTAAAACACTGTGATCCACCCCCAGCATTCTTCATTGTTGACTGATTGAAATCATATAATTCTCTTAAATTTCTACTCAAAGACAATAAAACAACAAATTTTGTTTTGAGATTTAACAACAAAAGTGTGTTCAAATATACAAAGGTTTATTTAGTGAATAAATTCCCTCATATAGAGAAAATATATTCTCAAAAAAGTGGAAACAGCATATATAAAGATCTTGAGGGGAAGGAGCCACTAGAAGTCATAAAAATCCAGAATTTTCAAGGAAAATTGAAACATGAACAGAAAAAAGGATGATTCAATATAAAACGGAGACACAGGCAAGGCCCAGATGCAACTGGCCTTTTAAACTATATTAAGGATTTTGTATTTTAATCTAATAACAATGGGAAGAAAGAATATTATTAAGGAGATGAATGATAAGATAAATTTTGATGAATGATATGATAAATGATGAATGATGAGATAAAATTTTATTTTAGTACCAGTCAGTATACTAAAGTGTATAGGATATAGTGTAGCTGAGAGAAAGGAAGGTGGGGAAGACAGGAGAGAAGACAGGAGAGAAAAAGTTAACATGGTTTCTGGAACTAGGTAAGATGAAATAAGTGGAAGACACATTATAGTAAAAATGATACAAGTCAAAGACAAGGAGAAAATCTCAAAAGCAACAAGAGAAAAATGACTCATCAATTAGAGTGAACCACAATAAGATGAAGACCTCACTTCTCAACAGAAACAATTTGAAACCAGAAGACAGTGGAATAATGTCTTCAAAGTGTGTCAAAAAACAACAACAACAACAACAACAACACTACCAACAAAGGTATCTTTTAAAAAAGAGAAACATTCCCAGTTAAATAAAACCTGAGATTATCTGTTGTTATCACAAATAATAAGGGAACTTCTTCAGACCTAAAGCAAGGAACACCAAACAGTAATTCAATTCTGCTAGAAAATTAAAGAGTACTTCTAAAGGTAAATATGTAATTATAGAGATCAGTGTTATGTGCATATTTCTTCTCCTTTCTTCTTTTAAATGACTTAGAGAGTGATTTTAAGTACATAATCCTGGTTTGGGATCTATTATATATGAGTGTATATATATTTGCCAATAACAGCACAAGATGGTAAACTGGAGTAAACTAATACTGGACTAAGGAAAGGATATCAGGTGATACTTCAAATCCACAGAAATAAGTGAAGATAGCTAGAAATGGTAAATAAGTCATTTAACATTATAAACATATACTTTTCCTCCCTTTTCACAGTTCCTTTAAAAGATGTAAAATCATATAAAATAATAGCAATTTATCGTTCAGTTTGAACATATATAGATGTAATATGTATATGATAATAGCATATGAAGAATGAAAACAGAGTTATATATAGTAATATTTCTATATCTAACTGGAATTGTTAGTCAAAATCTGAAGTAGATTCTGGTAAGTTGTGATGTATATAGTTAGCTCTGGAACAAACATAAAGGAAATAATAAATACAGTGAAAAATCAGTTTTTCTGATCCAGCTTCCAAGGAACTCGGGAGTCATTACTTCACTCTAATAATAAGTAAAGAGCTAAAAACAAACAAACAAAACAAAACAAACAAAAAACCTAAAAAATAAAGAATTTTTAACTTCTAAGAGGAGTGAGATCAAAGGAAAAACTTCTGCCCCACAAACTGGAGCAACTAATAAGTAAATACAAACAATCGCAACTTGCCAGAACAGAAATCTCCTCAGGAACCAGTGCTGGGGTAGAAAAATCAAAACTGTACTTGACAAATTACTGAAGGTTCACTGTGGCCAAATCTGAGTTTGAAATTCCAAGGAGACACAGGATTCAGGAAATCCCACGCTTTTGTGAGTTTTACCTTCTGGGTCTCTGTTAGGTTCCTACAGTATATATTAGAGTAAAATTCCTTAAGCTTCTGGAATGAAATAGGCAAGGCACTCTGTGTTTAACAAGACCTGCCCTTGGGGAAAACTAGTTAACCAGAGCCTAATCTAGTAGGATTTTTTTTTTTTTAAGATTTTATTTATTTCCTTGACAGAGACAGATCAGATGTAGGCAGAGAGGAGGAAGCAGGCTCCCTGCCGAGCAGAGAGCCCGATGTGGGACTCGATCCCAGGACCCTGAGATCATGACCTGAGCTGAAGGCAGAGGCTTTAACCCACTGAGCCACACAGGCGCCCCCCTAGTGGGATTTTATCAGAACCTAACTGAACTAGAGAAGGGACGTACCTAACTAACATCAGTCCACTCTACACCATTCTGTTCTATCTAATGTGGGGGTAGGGGTGAGTGGAGAGAACTAAGAAGTATAAGTGAAACTCCCATTCCAGAGACATAAGCCCACTAAAAGACTGAGTCCTAATGACAAGACTATAAAACATTTCTTCCCCTACACCTTATAACCATATTACTAAAGCCTATTTATAGTAGTTCTATTTACAAAGTACCCCATGTCCACCAATCAAGAAAAATGTCGAGAGAATGAGAAGACAAAGCACAGATTGGGAGAAAATATTTGCAAAGCACATATCTGAGGGAAAAAAAAAAAAACAAACTGTTATCCAAAATATACAAAAACTCTTAAGAATAACAAAATATCTGGGCCCCGAGGGGCACCTGGGTGGTTCAGTGGGTTAAAAAATGGGCCCTGATCCAAATAGACACCTCAACAAAAACATGTATAGATTAGAAATAAACATGTGAACAGATGCTTCACTCAAATGTTTTCAAGGAAGGGCAAATTAAAACAACAGTGAAATACCACTATAAATCTACTTGAGTGGCCAAAATCCAGAACACTGACAACACTAAATGCTGACATGGATGTGGAGTAATAGGAACTCTCACTGACAATGGAAATGCAAAATAGTACAACCACTTTAGAAGACAACTTGTAGTTTCTTACAAAACTAAACTTATTCTTAACTATCCAGGAAGATTTTTTTTTACTATTATTATATTAGCCATTTTATCTTTCAGAACTAAATTGGTTACTACTTTTCTAAAGTATCTCTAGTTATTGTTTGCTACATCATATGCCCGGAAAAAATGGAGCATAATGATGTATGCAGGATAATAATAAGATATACATAAATAGTTCACTGCTACCAAGTTAACATTTTTTTTCTTATATACAATAACCACAGAAACAAGCTGATTAGTGAGATAAGCTGGTTGTCTTTTTCCAGCAAGTCATACTTTGAAAAAAATAACACCTGGGAAGAGTTTAATTAGGGTGATAGGAGCTGTACATGCCCAAATTACCAGTAGCATTGTACACATCTATTATAGTGAGGATCCTTTGGCAAGTGAAGCAAAAGTAAGACGACTTAGGAAGTTAACAAAGGAAATAGAGCCAGAAATAAGCCTTACTTATTTCATAGATTGCCAAGGATTAATCCTAAATTCTATCAAGCTTTTGAGTAATTAACTAAATCTCTCTGAAACTTCATCCAATACACAACCCTAAAAGAAGATCAAAACACACATAATTATGCTTTGGAAATCATACTAGTGCTAATTTTAAACCAAGATAATAAAAGTATAATTTGAGCTAGAGTTTTTACACTTTCTGATAAAAATTCAAAATAAATCTTGAGTAAAGTCCAAAAGTATTACATCTAATGCTTCTCTTTGATATATCATGTTTGTCACTGCCATATAAGAAAATTTGATTAGGTTGACAGAACTTATTCTTCACCTACGTATGTTTATTTATAAGAACCACAGTATTTCACAGCTGAAAGAGGCTTTAAAGATCATTTATTATAATTGTCATTCTTCTCTAAGGAGGACAAATGATTTTTAAAACTGTATAAATGTAACCACTACATATTTTTATTTGGGAATCAGTCAGAAAATGATGCTACTTTTGACTTATTCAATATAATCACAAACTGTCCAATACAATAGATGGATTCCACCATTATTTTTAAAGACATTTGTAAAAAGAACTTGAACCCAGCATTAGCCTAAGAAACTACTTTAATTCTGATGATAAATTTAAATATTTTTTGATATTTTAGAGTGAGGCACATATTAGTCATCATTAGTAATCAAAGACATTAAAAGCTCATAATTATTCCCCTTTTTAAAATTCCATATTCTTCTGTCTCACGTACATAATTGAAAATATCTTGTTATAGTTTCTTTTCTCCTTTTTATTTTATTTATTTTTAAATTATATTTTATTTATTTGAGAGAGAGAAGGAGCGAGACAGACAGCATATGCAGGGGGAGGATCAGAGGGAGAGGAACCACCAGACTCTAGGCTGAGCATGGAGCTCACCGTGGGGCTCAATCTCATGACCCTGAGATCATAACCTCAGCTGAAATCAAGAGTCTGATGCTTAACTGACTGAGCCATACAGGTGTCTCTTTTTCCTCCTTTTTAATCACCTAAAAATATTAATGTCCTTACAGATAGGTAAGACTGAGACATTGTTTGTTATACAAAATAGCCCTGGAAATGAGGCATGGACCAAAATGTGACATATCTGATACAAAAAGAGGAACCAATGATAAATCAAAACACCCATATTAAAAAAAAAGTTTCCATACAGGGGCACCTGGGTGGCTCAGTGGGTTAAAGCCTCTGCCTTCGGCTCAGGTCATGATCCCAGGGTCCTGGGATTGAGCCCCACATCGGGCCCTCTGCTCAGCAGGGAGCCTGCTTCCTCCTCTCTCTCTGCCTGCCTCTCCCCCTCCTTGTGATCTCTGCCTGTCAAATAAATAAATAAATAAAATCTTTAAAAAAAAAGTTTCTATGCAATAAATATGCAGACTTTAGAAATGTCCAATTCCTAATTTTTCCCAAGTTAGGGAATTGCTTTCTTAAATATACTGTTGGCCAAAAGTGGCATTAATAACACATTGGAAAAAAATGTCTCATAAACAAAAATACATCTAAAATTCAATTTTTGCAAGCAAGAAAAAAATATATATTTGGCTAACTATGGGTTAAACACTATTTTCAAAAAGTGATAAATAAAATATAAAAATAAGCACAGGAAAGAAATTTGGAACAAATTCTGTAAACGAGTATAATCTCAACAAATTTAACAAGTTTATTAGAGAATCTTGGTTTTTGAAGCATAACCTCGTCTCTAGTGATACTTACTTTTCTTCTAATAAAAGAACCTTCTGCATTGGTTCTATGCTACACCTCACCTTTCTATTACACAGTGACTCCCTCAAAGGATATCTTAGCCAGATTTTTCTTAACTCCACCATATTTTTATTAACAGTCACATTATGGAATTTGCAACTCAACTCATCCTTTTTAGCATTTTAATTTTAAATTTAATTCAGAAATTTTCTCCTCCTGGCAACATATCCCTTACTACATTTATGGCTCTGTAGCCTTGAAATGGAAGTATTTCTCTTGAACATTATATCTTCTATTATAATCCACTGTCCAACTAAGAGAAAAGCCAGGCAAGGCTGCAAACCTCTCTCTGTTATTTGTGACTATCTCTTGTAGGGCAGTAGGGATTCTTACTAGAAGGAGATCTAAAGCTGCTCTGACCCACCTACCACAATTCCTCTTGTGTCAGTGTCTTAGTCAGTTTGGGCTGCCATAACAAATATCAAAGCTTGGATGGCCCAGACAAAAAGCATTTATTTCTCACAGTTTGGGATGCTGGGAAGTTGAAGATCAAGGTGCCAGCAGATTCAGTGTCCAGTAAGATCCCTCTTTCTTAATTGCAGAAAGCTGCCTCCTTCTATCCCTTTATGGCTGAGAGAGAGATCATCTCTCATGTCTCTTCTTATATAAAGAGACTAATCCCTTTCATGCGGGCTCTCCTTTAGTGACTTAATCACCTCTCAAAGGTCCCACCTCTAAATAGCATCATATTGGGGATTAGGGCTTCAATAAATGGATTTTGTGGGACACAAACATTCAGTCCATATCAGCTGACATCTCTCATTTAATAGGCTTTCATAGATAGAAACAATTATACAAAATGACTTAATGCCACCTACACTTTTTCTGTACATGTTAGCAGGAAATCCACACATCCCTGCCATGCCAAATACTGGAAATGTTGGCGGCTTCACTGTTGCTATTCCTTCTCTCAGCCTCACCTTTTCTCTATATTTTCCACTGATAATGTGTAGTGCAAGTACAGAGAAGCAAATTTGCTCCTTAAGTAGGTGTTCAATCAGGAGAACAGGAAAAATGAATAAAACTTCTCACTGCATTTCTACTTTTGTCCTTACATTGACTGGATAGGGCAAGAACGGCAGGGCCATGAGGAAATACAGAGGGATATGAAAGTAAGGCAAGTTCTGAGATCACTCTTCAAGCCAATACATAATGATTTTTTAATAAAAAACAGGCAATAATCTAAATGTCCAATTAAAAGACTACATTAAGAAGTTAGAGAAACACTCATATGAAGATATATTATATAAAACTTTAAAACCATGAAAAATTACTAATTCCAATAATATGTTATGTAACGAAAATGATCCAAAATTGCATTAAACTCACCATGACCTGGAGGAAATTTTTTCCATTTAATGAGTGCAACTAGCTCACGTATGGATAAAGTGGGCCACTCTTCATAATATGGACATTTACAAATTAATTTCACCTTTTCTTTATTTTCGAGTTTTATTTTTTCCTGAAAAAGGTTATTAAAAAATAAGGGAAAATGTACAGTAGATAGATAAATGGCAGTAACAGAAAAATAAAAGTTATACGAGTGTAAATTGTATAAATTACATTTGAATTTTGTAGGAGCATCATTCTATGATCACATAACCATATTGAAATTTTAATCTTCAGATTTGCTACTGAAATTGTATTTTCCCCCTTTCATAATATTTTTAGACTTCCATAAGTGCTTTTAGCATTTTTAAGAAATCCTGTCATAGTCAAGACTAAACTCAAAAGTTGTACTTGATAATATTGAATCCTTGACTCATATTTTGAAAATAAAACATACAAAATGATTTTTTTTAAGCTAGCCACTCTGAAACCAGGGATTTAGAAGGAAGCTGAATTCTGAGAAAGTCATCTGTCCCACTGACACTGAGACAACTGTATCAAAAGAAACCCTAACTATTAGAGACCTAAATCTAAAAGATGGATGTCTCTTCATCTCCCTCTAACCTGAGCACATAACCGTAGCTGATACCAGTGCTCTGTTGCCCCTGCACCAGACTTAGATCCTATCAGAAAAGCTGGCAGAGTAGGACAATGGGGGCCTTTCAATGCAGTCATTTATAAAAAAAACTTTCTCTGTCACTAAGAAAGGAGAAATCAAAAAAAGGGAAAATTTTGGAGTTGATTAAAGGAGACTAAATTGGTAAACTTGAAGTAAATAAGTTATCTTAATGTAGCAGCATTGGGGGGCCAGAATTAAGTTGTGATCACCTATTCATCCAACTCTGGGTTTTTAATATCTATTAGAACAATGAAATAGCATGTCAGCCACTCCCAAGTATTTCTTTTTCCTCAGGTGGACTGTACAGATTTAGAGATCTCTCTGTATGTTTGTCTGGTATCCCTAACACGTGACAAGCTGTTGACACCCAAAACATATGTTTGTTGATAAATATCTGAATAAATGAATGTATAAATGAAGGGATTTGAAATTCATGTAAAACCCAAAGTGCTAAAAATATACATAAAATATACCCATAGAGACCTTTCTTTCCACTCCAACTACCTATCATCATCATAAGCTTAAATAATGTTCATCAAATAAGCCATATTTTTGTCTCCAAGTTAAGTATATTAAAACATTAAAAAGATATGGACATCTTCTGTCTAAAGGCAAAACTTAGCTTGAGTTTACACACATATTGTGTGTGTGTGTGTATTAGATATGGTCATACCGATTTAAACCTTGCATAATTCTTTGCAGAGATTTTAAGAATTTCACAATCTTCTTCTGTGATCACTGAGTACTCCTTTGTTTGTGATTCAGTCTGAGCTTCAACTTCTAGGGTTCCAAAGGTACTCCATTGTCGAAGCTGTAAAAAATACAGAAGTAGCTTAAACTTCATTATCACTCATCAACATAAAAATACTAGTGATGATGAAAGAAACAATCTAGAAGAGTCTGGAAAAGAGATGATGGCAGATCAAACTCCAAGTCTGTGAAAGAAGGAGATCTAAACAGTTTTGCATGGATGTCATACTTCTACCCAATGTTACCTTCCCAAGGCAAGAAAAAAGTTTCCATTTTTTCACTAGAATGAAAGAAATAACTTATAAGAATAGATCTTCTGGGGGCACCTGGGTGGCTCAGTGGGTTAAACCCCTGCCTTCGGCTCAGGTCACAGTCTCAGGGTCCTGGATCAAGCCCCACGTTGGGCTGTCTGCTCAGCAGGGGGCCTGCTCCCCCGCTCTCTCTGCCTGCTTCTCTGCCTACTAGTGATCTCTCTCTGTGTCAGATAAATAAATAAAACCTTAAAAAAAAAAAGAATAGATCTTCTGTTTTATCTCCTGATTCATTTTAATTACCTAGAATAATGCTTGGAACATAGTAAACATTCAATAAATATTTGTTGAAAGAGTGAAGAAAAAAGTACACTTACATACTTGGTCTTCTGTTTATTTTATTACCCTCATACGTTAGTAGTAATAATGAAATGAATATATTGTTATGCAGTATATAAATTATAAGTGTATATATTTATACACACTCATATTCACACATAGTGTCTTCTAATTTTATATGTAAAGGATAAATATTTAGCATCCTCCAAATTTTGCACTAGGATATGTATTGTAAATTATTACCATATAATATATATATATATATATATATATAGCTACAAAGAGACCTGTATTCATGTTTGCCTGGGGAAAAATATATAGCATAGATAATCTATATCTATGAAATTGAGAAGCTTCTTAGGAAAAACATCAGGTCTATATGCCTAAGATAATATGAGAGGACATCCACTCTTCCATTTCAAATCCATAGAAAGGCTGAATTGTTTTCTTTGGAGTTGAATGGATAGCTGAGCTTGAATCTGCAAGTTCAGAATTAAAGAGGAATTTTAAACAGACACTGATGAAGCTGAAGTGGTTCACAGTGATATCAAACTAGGATAAAGGCCTAAAGGGTGGAGCTCTGGGATTTGTCATACATGTAGGAATAGGAAATGAGACCCAGGACCACACAAAGCAAGGAACTGGAATTGAGCCCTCTTACCTAAAGCCTAAGACCTTGTGTAACTGTCCGCAAGAACAAAGTACTGCTTAAAATATAACCTATGACAAAATACACTAGTTATGAAGCATGCTTAGATATAGCCTTAAGAAAAACATGTACCGGCAATAGGCCTCTGGGGGAGAAGATGATATACGACCTTGAAGCCGAGCAGCTGGGGATGCCTGGCTCACTCAGGGCCTGCCCAATGCCACCTGCTTCATTTTTCTGTTATCTCCCCTTCCCTGAAGAGCACCAGTAGTTAGTCAGACAATCCTTTTGTTTGGGCTTGCTTACTGTAGGTCATGTACTACATGACAAGACATACTTTGTCTTTCTTCTTACGCATCTACAAGACTCATGGTCAATGTGTTATCTCCGGTTTCTTTGTTGATTGTTACCCACTTTCTAGTAAACATGAGACCAAGGAGTTGTTTGGGGCGACAGTCTTTTCTACTGACCCCTGCTCCCCTTTCCTTGCAGCTGCAGCTGACTTGTTTGTGCTTCATTCTTCTCCCGTGCGCCATCAAGAGGCAGCACCGTGGAAAATCACCTCTTTGTGAAATGGAGGCAACAAAGTCTAGTTTGTTGCTTCCACTAGTCTAGCTAGGGAACTGGGTAGAGTTGTCACAAAATCAGGATCCTAGGTCTATAACTTTTGTAGGTGAAGAGTATACATTTATACATCGTACAGGACTCAAAGCTTAAAAATTACTCTACAATCTGGTATACATCTAGTACCTAGGATCCAGAAAGTGCAAATTTAAAACCCTATGGATGAATTGAGGATAAAAGGAACTCACATAAGCAGCAATCCCTACTAATAACAAAATCACAGTAAAAACTTACAAGCTTCACAAGTGACGAAACTCCTATGAGGGTAACTCAACAGAGAACTTGAAAAAAAAAAAAAAAGAACCATCTAAAAGAATCTATATACAATTAACTTATTAGATCTTACTGCATTTGCATTTCATAAAAGAACAAAATTAAACTTTTATAAGTAAAAAGTTATAAGAAGTTATTAAAAAACTCAATTAACACATTAATTAAAACGTAAGAAATAATTCACAAAATGGATAAAACATGAGAAAAGCATTCAGAGTAAAACATAAAATATAGAAGAAATTTGAAATAAGAATTTAAGAGATATGAAAGACAGATGGAGAGCATTCGGTATACATGTACTAGGATTTCTAGAAGGAACTAAAAATAATGGGAGATGAGTAATTATCAGGTCAGTGACAACAACACCAAATTTTCCAGAAGAGGGAAAAGATGAGTCTTAGAAATGAAGGAATATACAAAACTTAGATATATATTTGTATTTTGTATTCCTGCTCAGATTTTGTTTGGTGTACTCTATTTATCTTTCTCCTCCAGGTACCCCTTCATCATCTTGTTAGTGCTCAGTATATTCAAGTAGATATTTTCTATATATAGTTTTCCAGATTTTCTAATTGTTTTCAGGATAAGACTTAGTTTGTGTTACCTAATAAACCATTATGAAAGCATAAGTCCTTTATGACTTTAATATTCTTAAGGCTTTCTTTCTTGATGTGTCAATGATATCATCAAACTCCCTAATATTATTAGGAAAGTATTACATTTCCAATATCTTTTACATATGGTCTATATGTAAACATTGTTGTATAACTGAATTACTATATTATTGAATTATTTAAATTATTAATATTTATATTTCCATTCTGTCCTATAACTATCTCATCTTCAAAGTGCTCAGAAAAAATAAGTTTCAAGCTAGAATTCTATATTTACTTAAAATAGGAATATGGAATGAAGAAAAGCATCAAGCTAATTTTTGGCATCATGTGAAACAAATTTAAAAAGGAGAATTTTAGTTAGAACAATACTGAATCCAAAGAGGAGTACAAAACAGTTGATAAAAAAATTGGTGAATGTAAATAAAATTTATCAGCATATAATATTTTTAAAATAACTAATTTTTATAGCTATTTTTAAACTATCTTTAAAATAACATACTAATATGTGATACTTTAAAATAACATAGATTTAAAATAGTTTTACAACAGTAACTCCAAAGAGAAGAGCAAGAAGACAAAAAAAAAATTGTATTAAGAGTGAATCTTTATAGTTTGGAACTAGGAAAGAAAAAAGATTATATAGCTTTTCTTAGTTAAAATTGAAAATTTAATAATATAGAAATTAGACCTTTATGGATGGCAAAAGAAAATAAACATAATGACACAAAAATAAAGTGATGAAATTTACTATGTCCCTAAAATATCTAACACCTATAAGTTGACTTAATTATGAGCAACAAAAACAAATAATTAGAGAAAATGCCAAATTATTTTAAAAAAAGAATTTATAGAAGAGAACAACTAAATAAACCACACATAAAAGAAATATTCTCAACCTTACTAGTAGACAGAGAAATATTTATTCATCTATCAGATTGAAAATATTAAAGTACTCTAACCTATGAGATCAGGGCAATAATTTTGTGCATAACTTGAAAATATAAAAACCTTTTAAAATGGGAAATAATCTAGCAATATTTACTAAAATAAATAAAGAATATATGAAATGTTTTATCCATCCATAAAATGGGTAAAATATTTTTATGGATAAAATTTTATCCATAAAAATGTTTTACCCATCTCCTAGAATCTATCTACCTTATAGAAATAAATGCATTCTTAAGAATATTTATAAGAAGTTTAATGCAGCACATTTTAATAACCCCCAACTGGAAGCTTTAATAGCCACCAGTTAGAGTGTGTATGCGTGTGTGTATTCAACTAAATTTAAATTTTTACATACTGTAGAAAATTAGTGACATCTATGTATCTTATCCTGTAAGAATTCTTATAATGAAAAAAACAAATAGCAGGTAAAAATATATGTTGAAAAATTTTATAAACTGAACAGTCACAAAAACAGTAATCTGTAAACATTTATATAATTGTTCATATGCTTATGTGAGCTCAGAGGAAGTTGTGCAAGTGTGAGCACCAACCTATTCAGGGGAGAGGTGGAGCTAAAATGACAAAAGACTTACTACCTTTTCCTTAAAACTTATATTTTTCTTTCAGTTACAACACTGAGTATGTATTAATTTTAAGTTTTGGACATTTTAAAATACATTTAAAATGCATATTCAAAACAACATGCTGTGTTATTTTCCATACCTGTTAACCCTCTTGATATCTTTATACTGATATAGGAAATATATTAAATGATACATATTAGATGTGTATAGTTACTTTTGAATGATTAAAGTGCAGGTAACTATCATTGTCTACTTTGTAACTCTGTGTTTTCTGAAATTTTCAATAAATAGAGAAATTTTGAAATCTGGCAACATTACAAAGCTATTTAAATTATATTCAAGAAAAGCTTACTCAGGGGCACCTGGGTGGCTCAATGAGTTAAAGCCTCTGCCTTCGGCTCAGGTCATGATCCCAGGGTCCTGGGATCAAGCCCCATGTTGGGCTCTCTGCTCAGCAGGGAGCCTGCTTCCCTATCTCTCTCTGCCTGTCTCTCTACCTACTTGTGATCTCTCTCTCTGTGTCAAATAAATGAATAAAATCTTTAAAAAAAAAAAAGAAAGAAAAGCTTACTCAATTTGGGGGGAAACATTCATTAAAGATAGGTAGATAATCTTATTTTGCTGAAGTTGGTTGTTGGAAGTGCACAAAAGAAGCCATATCTCTCACTTCTAAATTCTCATGTTATTTTAATGAAAAATAAATTGACAATGCCCTCTATTGGAAAATGACATATTCCTTTTTTTTTTTTTTAAAGATTTTATTTATTTATTTGGCA